TCGTAACGACCACCCGCCGCGCCTCAAAAATATTGTGATACCTCGCCGCACAGGTGTAAGTATCTTATCATGAAATGCATCAAAGAAAGCTTCTTCCCCGTCAGCTACGCCCACCATTCTATGGCGCTCGCGAGCAACAAACTAAACATTCTTGGAATTTGATCAATTTTATAGTCAATCTGTGGTTACCAAAGTGCCCGTTGAAGAACCGTCGTCACGCGATCCGAGGCATGTGCAAGAACAACATAAACTCATCGTTCGTGATGAAGAATATCAGTGGCCCGCAACTCCGTCTAACGCGAGCGAGACCGGATCCCGCGCGGGAGATGATCGGCTGCGAGCAGGTGTGCATAGACAGCGTTCCAGATGTACGTCCAGTCAGATAGGTTGATGTTGTTGCCGACTAGGATGTGAGTCCTATCGATAATTCTTGTAACTCCATAGAAACCCGCCATTGTCGACCATCATCGCTGAACAAAAGCATATGAGAGTTGGCTAGATAGTATACTCAAGCCGAATGATCCAAAGAGACTTGCAAGACGAAGAGCCGCAGTATGGAGGCTACCTTTATCGTTGACGTCGACCATGAGGTGTTCTACCTCCGCTCTGGACGCGTACAGCCTGTCCATGGACTTCGCTGGTGGTGGCAAGCGCACGTCGATGTTCTCGAGATCCTGTTCCATTGAAAGGAGCTGCGATACACAAGCTGCGAGATGTTGCTCGCCAGTACGGATGATGGTTCTAGGGCCGTCCACATTATCCTTGAAGTACGGCGAGGATTGTCCAATCAGGAGAAGGTGATGCGGCATGAATGATGCAAGTATGCCGCTCTAACAAGGGAGAGAAGGGTCGCATAAGCGAGATTTGAGTGAGAACGGGAATAGATAATGACCCAGTGAGCTTACCTTGGGTAGAACCTCGCCTCTGCGTCGACCTCGTAGTGTCGCTGGACGATGCCAAAGACAGAGACTTCGTCGCTGCGAGCGATTGGAGAAGTGCCGACGAGGGAAATCGCCGCCACTAGCTGCAGGAGACTGTCGTTCTCTTCACTCTGTAGGTAACAGTTTGTCAAGGAGTGTGTCTACGGGAGACAAGAGTTGACTTCAAACTGCTTTTGTCTACATTCCATGGTGACTTTCCGGTTTGCGAATCTCTCGAAAGGCAGACCGCGTCCTCAGCGACTCTTTGAGATCTGGCAGCATGCCAGATTTATGTTTATCAGTGCGATGAAGAAAAGAGACCATCTATGCAGTGTGTAGATAGCAATGCATGATCAGCCAGGTGTAACCGCGCCGCAATCTCTTTGTTGGGTTTGCCACCGACCTCGCTGAGCCTCTGCAAGTATGGAAGCTCAAGCTGCTTCATAACTTCGTCTTCAATAAGTGCGCATGTCATACTAATTATTAAGCCATTCACTGTAGCTTCATACTTTCGTCGTCAAGTCATCCTTGGGCATCATTGCCGTTATGCCTCCGCCTCGACAGATGCGAACTCTCGTAAATACTTCCGCGCTCCAATTGACAACTGAAATGGTCCGGAGCTGGGAAGACACATGGGAAAGCTGAGAACGTGTTCGGCTCAACGTACGACTTTTATTTTATATTCGTCTGTCGTGCGTATTCTCGCAAGTCTGCTCTCTCTCTGTCTGCTTGGAGTCCTGCACCATGGGCTTATTTTCCTCGAAGTTCGACCCCGCTAGCCTGCCGGATTTGAAGGGCAAGGTTGTGCTCATCACTGGCGGCGCGTGAGTGGCTTCGGTCGATGCGACGGTGCAGGTTCGCTCATACGGCTTCTACCTACAGCGCGGGGATTGGGTTCGCCGTTGTCCAGCATCTGGCACGTAGAGGAGCCAAGATTTATATCGCTGCACGTACGCAAGACCGGGCGGGCGATGCGATTCAACGCCTACGTGCTGCCGGACTCGGTCCTGGCAATGGCCAACTCGCACATGTCGAGCTTGATCTTGCCGACCCGAGGGTTGCAAAGAAAGCTGCAGAAGAGTTTATGGCGAAAGAGGGGCGTTTAGACATCTTAAGTGCGTGTTGACTGGATTGAGGTCGTGCTTGCTTCTGACGACCTTGTAGTCAACTGTGCTGCCATGTGAGTTTACCCTGTCTCAACGCTATTATGTACCAAACAAGATTTTTGCAGCATGATGTGTCCCTACGCAAAAACATATGATGGTGAGATATGGCCTTGACTTGCATTCCATCAAATCACTGATGACATGATTTTCAGGCGTTCAAGATGTCGTCATGGTTAAGTACGCAATCTTTAACAGGCCAATGCAAGACAAAGACTGATGTTACCTCATTGCAAGCTACATTGGACACTTCGTGTTTACTCGCACCCTCATGCCAGTGCTTAAACGTACTGCGAGCGAACCAAATAGTGACGTTCGCATTGTTCACGTACGTTTGCGAGCGGCTATGGGTTCTCCTGCGTTTTAATTTGCTGAGACAGGTTTCATCGGACGGCTTTGATGCTGTCCGGCACTCGGTGCAATTTCGTACGATCGAGGACTTCAATAACGAGTACAAAGACAATGTCTTCCCTTGGCCGTCCCTCATGAGATACTGTGCGTAGCTTGTTTTGACCCTGCAAAGTGGTTATTGTTGATGTCCACGAATTAGGCTATAGCAAGTTGCTGATTATGCTCGCTGCAGCTGAACAGCAGAGACGGCTGGACGATGAGGGGGTACCAATCCTTGTGATGACGACCCATCCCGGTGCAATCAACTCCGGTATGTTCACTGTGGCTCAGAACTGTCTTGATCTGACGTGTATCAAAGATGGTGCACAGAAATGGATCGACTCGTTTGGACCGGGACTCCTTGGAGCTATCGTAGCGTTCTTCATCAACTTGGTATTCAACACGCCTATTAAGGGTGCATATAGTACTGTCTTCGCCGCAGCTGCACCCCAAGTCCGCGCGGAACCACGAAAGTATCGCGCTGCTTATATCAAGCCTCCGTCCGAAATTTCCCCAGTGGCCGAGAGGGCGCGAGATCCAGCGAAGGGTAAGGAGCTATGGGAAATGACGGAGACATTCTTGGATGAAATTGGGGTGTAGATTGAAGATGCGCCTTCGTATTATACCAGGGAATTATAATAATACTCCCGCTTCTGAATATTCTTTGCAAATCATTCCAGCGAGAACTCGTTTAGCAAAAGTCTACTTAACATTAGTGTCTTGTTCGAGATTACACAGAACTTTCTTGATAGTCATCTACAAAGGCATGAATTATTTACAGGCTCCAATATGGATTGATGACGAAAACCATCCTAACACTGAGAATCGACGTCGGAGACCACGACCACTTGTCCTCGATCTGCACTGTTCAAAGTGGCGAGCTGGCCACTCACTGTGACTTGCCTGTTATGGTAGTTCCTGGAGAACTGCTGATTCTCACGAGGAGTGAATTTCCAAAGGGACTCGGGAGTGCTTAAACTCCTCCATATAGGACTGGATAGGACTCCTTAGAGTCGTCTCTCCCTCTCTTAGGTCCCCGCGCAACTTCATGGGCAAGACCATTCTTATAACCGGTGCTACGGGCAAACAGGGCAGAGCCCTTGTCAATGCCCTAGCAAGTCGCGCAGGACAGTCCAGCGCCGATGAGGCATCAGAGCAGGGTGCTTTCAGGATCCTCGCTCTTACACGAAACGCCTCAAGCTCGGCAGCCCAACATCTGGCCCAAAAGGAGCACGTAGAGGTCGTGCAAGGAGACTTGGATGACCGCGAGTCGGTACGCAAGGTGTTCGAAGACGCGAAGAGCACGGGAGGGATATGGGGCGTGTACTGTGCGCTCGCGTTTCCGGGTCTGGGTGCAAACGCGGACGGCGAGGAGAGGCAAGGAAAGGTGCGTTGTATGGTCTCTTCATCATGGATATCGAGCGGGGAATCGAATCTATTGCTGTTCTCTAGCTGATGGCCGACCTGGCGTTGGAGTACGGAGTTTCTGTGTACATCTACTCGTCGGCGGAGCGCGCTGGTCCCGCCCACGACGACGAGGAAGTACGATCTGGTCGCGCGAAGATGCTCATCGAGCGCCATGTGAAAAGCCTCGGAGAGAAGGGTCTCTCATGGACGTGAGTGTCGCTCATAAACTGTGCATGTGGTGAGAATATGCCACCGTGATGGGCTAATTGCAATAGGATCATGCGCCCAGGATTCTTCTTAGACAATTATGAAGGATTCATTGGCTCAATCACAGTCGCAGTTATGAAATGCGGGCTGAAGCCGGACAGCAAAGTGGCGCTCATCGTGAGTCGTTGCTATGATCACGACTTGCTATCTCTGCAATAATCAAATCGTGTTGGTTTTAGGATTCTGAAGACATCGGTCGTGTTGCCGCTGCTATCTTTAGAGTGAGTTTCATTTTATTGCTGAATCAGATTCATGCATACTACAACCTTCGCAATTGCAGAGCCCCGACAAGTACCAACACAAGGAGCTCGTCGTCATCGGGGAAGTTGCCAGCATGTCAGAGCAAAACGAAGCTTACAAGCGCGCAACTGGCCGACCGCTACCGTCAATTCCGAACATCTTCGCACGGATTCTTGTAGCGATAAACAAATCTACGAAAGACCTGTAAGTCGTGCTTTTCCCTCTTTTCACATGCGAATTGTGTTCTCTCGTTAAATGTCTTGTAGCGTTGACCACTTCGACGCGTTACACCACGCTCGTGTAACGGGACAGCATGATCAATTTGAGTCGCAGGTCCAATTGACGCGAGAGGCTCTCCCTGAGATCAAATCCGTGTATGATTGGGCGCTTGTGCAGAAGAATGGTCAAGGTCGAGACAGTGGAGATCAGGGATGGAACAAAGTCTCCATCTGGCAGTTGATAACAGGTCGACTGTGAAGCCACCAGTGACGCGCGACATTGTACCCAATATTGGATATGTAGCGCATTAGTGCTCGTAGACTTAACCCTCCAAGTTGTCAGTCATGTCTTGCTGCATTTATCATCATGAGTCTTTCTCAGCATATATACCCTTGGATTATAATTTATAGAATTTATCGATATGCATTTTGACATCTGTCAAGCTGTTTAGAAAGATCTGGTGTGCCACAATATGTAAGACACAAATCTATCCAGAGGGAGCGATCCATCTACAGCCCGGCTACATATCGACCACTTCCAGAACCCCACATACAGAACCGGACTTTCTCTTATATCCCCGTCAGCCGTGCCTTCACTGTCCCTCAAAGGGACACCCCGTCATCCCACAGCTAAGCTCAATCTTTAGGCGAGCAACAGAACATAATGACCTCGCCTATATCTAGTGGACCTCAGTAAGCGACCCGCCGAGCAAGTGCATGAAGCATGTCGCCTTGGACGCGTGGAAAAGATGGAACAGGGATGATGCGTGGGCCGTAGAAATGTGCCCGCGCAGGGGAGGGTTAAGCATCTCGAGCTCAGCAGAAGCGGAGACGGAGACAGAAGTCTGGCGTAAGGAAAGACGCGTCGGGCGCGTTTCTCAAGACGAAATTGATGTGTGAATTCAGAAGCGAGGACTCTAAGAGCCGGCGGACGAGCTGCCAAGGTTCATGCATGATGTCTCAAGTCGGATGTGAGCGCTTGGTGCATGATGAAGCCGTCTATGATAGCCTTGTGCAGGTGAGCATAGATCAGGAGGAGCAGTAGGATGGTGTTGAACCAAAATTGGATCTTTTCAGACGCACATCGTAACCATGTCACTGACCTGCTTGCACTTGCACCCTCATGACGTACTGCTTGAGCTTGGCCTCGTCGTCAATCCCACGTTGTTCCTAACTTTGTTCCTTGATAAATTTCCACCTCATCCTTTACTAGATGGTAGCGCCGCTCGTTGAGGCTGCCTCCATTGAATGTGTTTGCCACAGACAGGTAGCGATGGTGGGTGTGCCCGCTGCGCAACTCTAGCTTCTACCATCATCATCACACGCGACGGTTTTGTATCCCCGTATCCGATAAGAAGGGTGGATCTAGGCGAGGCGCGGGCGCCAGGACAGGCACTAGGACAATACAGTCTAGTTGTGACCGAGCAGTGACTATACCGTGATCTTGGAATTGGCGTCAATGTGCTAACGCACTAAAATTCCTGGTCTCGTGCCCAGACGTGTCTTCGACACGTCTGGGTACGAGACCAAAAATTCCCAACTCTTTCCACCTGCTGGCTGCTACGTATACTAGGACCGCGCTGTCGATCTAACGTATCACGAACTCTGGATCACGAGACTACTTAATGCTGCGCCGCAATGTTCTCTTTCAATTTGCATAAGTACTGTCTCAGTTTCGCCTCGACATACGCCCGCAGCTTACGTTGCCCGCGTATAAATCCCCGTGCTTTCCCGGGCAAACGATCATATTTCCATGGTACAACGGAATGAGCCTGAGTTGCGACCACTCGCATACGGTGCGCTTCGTGAATCAATGTGAACTACTTGGGTGTTGGCTGATCTACCTGGCATAGCCGACCTACCCCGCGCGGTCCATTTGCTCACTAAAGCAAATGAAGATGACCCGTCCCGCCACTATATTGACGATACACCAGTTAGTGTTGCATCCAACGCCGTCACTGGACTTTGTACCACGGATGCCATTTGTTCAATAGGATGCTTGCGCCAAAGCGTCGGAATACGCGAATTGGATTGGATTGTTCATTAGGTCTGCCCGGGAAGTGACCAAGCATGAAGCCTGGACAATAGGCGGCGGCGATTCGGTTGTCTACTAGTGAGTATTTTTTTTTCTTTTTAATTTATGACATCTGCAGCCAATTCTCATCGAGGTTATAGCTCTCCTCCTAGCGACACTCTGTCCCGCAGGCGCAAGCGTCTGTACGCAATCTTAGACTGGCTTGTCAATGCAAGTGGAAAATCTCTCACCAGGATATTTAGGACTTCGCAGCAGCGAGCTGTGCGTACACATCTACTTCGGGCGCGTACGAGGCTAAGTCCTTGTGATGTCTCATTCGCAGCGGCGTACAGAACTTGGCACGAAAATGATTGCTGCTATCTCCGGGGGGATTGGTAACCGAGTGGACCAACTATTCTCTATCGATCTCCTGGCAACTGCTGTCGATAAGCAAGGAAGAGGATACGCCTCGCGGCTGGTCAACCAAGTTACAGCAATGGTACGCGTTGCGCTCACGCGTCTCCCTCATGTTGCTTTGTCTGAGATTTGTTCCCAGGCTGATGCACAGTTTCGTGGTACATGGCTTATTACCAATCAGTATACCGTGGGTTTCTACGAGAGACTAGGGTTTGTAACTGTCAAAGAATTTGCGCTTGGGGACGATCCTACGTGGACTAAAGGTCCTGTGATTCTCTGCGTTGTAAGTCGCCGATTTCTGATCATGCATGGTCAGTTTATGTGATAAACATATTCGCATAGATGCTTAGGGAACCGCAGAGCCTCGATAGCAAGTATGTAGACGAGAAAATCGCGTCGCTATGTTGAGAAGTTGAAGATTATCAGTTTCTTGGATCGTGGTCTAAGAGACTAGACCCTTTATGACAACCCTACAACTGCCGATGTACTTAGTTTGTGAGTTGAAGCTTTGGATTGAACAGCTTGTTCAGCATATATTTTCGCTCGCCGAGTGTCATCAAAATCAACTGTCCAACGTAGTACGGTACATAGGACTTGGGCCATCCACTTAAGTTGAGAACACGGGCGAGTCTTATGTTAATCAGTAGACTCGCATGCCAGTCGAACTTAGAATGCACACATCCGTTTTCGTCGAGGGCATCTTAGAAAGGAGATCGGAGCTCGAAAACGATGAATCTGACGAACGAGCTGCTGTCGTAGCGAAGTTCGAAAGTCAGGACAGCTGGGTACGAGCCTACAGCGCCCCATTCGGGGAGTCCCTGCCCGTGGAAGCGCGCGGCGAGGCACGCAATGACTGTAGATCTCAGAACGCAGTTCAGGCTCGTCTAGAGCATCAGACCAATCTCAGACATGCCTCAGACGTTTCAGACCTTCAGATACAGTAAGCTCCCAGACTTTTCCGTTTTCCTGATGCAGCGTGAGTCACGGCGTGATGATAGTGGTCGAAACTGTGTTGAGGTATATTTTATCCATCACGAACTCTGGATTACAAGACTATTTAATGCTACGCCGCAATGTTACTTCTCTTTGCATAAGTACTATCTCAGTCTCGCCTCGACACACGCCTACAGCTTGCGTTTCCAGCTTACAAATTCCCGTGCGTTCCCGGGCAAACGATTAGATTGCTATGGTACAGCGGAATGAGCCTGAGTTGCGACCACTCGCATACGGTGCGCTTCGTGAATCAATGTGAACTACTTGGGAGTTGACTGCCAATCTACCTGGCATAGCCGACCTACCCCGCGCGGTCGATATGTTCATGAAGGCAAATGAAGATAACCCGTCCCGCCACTATATTGACGATACACCAGTTAGTGTTGCATCCAACGCAGCCACTGGACTTTGTGTCATGGGTACCATTTATTCAACAGGATGCTTGCGCCAAAGCGTCGAAATTTGCAAATTGGATTGGATTGTTCATTGGGTCTGCCCGGGCAGCGATCAAGCATGAAGCCTGGACAATAGGCGGCGGCGATTCGGTTGTCTGCTAGTGAGTATTTTTTTCTGGTCAATCTACGGCCACTCCTCATCGAGGTTGTAGCTCCTCTCCGAGCGACACTCTGTCCCGCAGGCGCAAGCGTCTGTACACAATCTTAGACTGGCTTGTCGATGCAAGTGACAAATCACTCTCCAGGATATTTAGATCTTCGCGGCAGCGAGCTGTGCGTACACATTTACCTCGGGCGCGTACGAGGCTAAGACCCTGTGGTGTCTTATTGGCAGCGGCGTGCAGAATTTAGCGCAAAAATCACTGCTGCTGCCTCCGGAGGGATTGGTAACCGAGTTGACCAACTAATCTCTATCGATTACCTAGCAACTGCTGCCGATAAGCAAGGAAGGGGATACGCCTCGCGGCTGGTCAACCAAGTTACAGCAATGGTACGCGTTGCGCTCACATGTCTCCCTCATTTGACTTTGTCTGAGATCTGTTCCCAGGCCGATGCGCAGTCTCGTGGTACATGGCTATTTACCGGTCAGTATAACGTGGGTTTCTATGAGAGACTAGGATTTGTCAATGTCAGAGAATTCGCGCTTGGGGACGATCCGACGTGGACTAAAGGTCCTGTGGTTCTCTGCGTTGTAAGTCGCCAATTTCTCATCATGCATGGCCAGTTTATGTGATAAACATATTCGCATAGATGCTTAGGGAACCGCAGAGCCTCGATAGCAAGTATGTAGACGAGAAAATCGCGTCGCTATGTTGAGAAGTTGAAGATTATCAGTTTGTTGGATCGCGGTCTTAGAGATCATAACCTTTATGACAACCCTACAACTGCTGATGTACTTAGTTTGTGAATTGAAGTTTTGGATTGAACAGCTCGTTCAGAAAGACTTCCTCGTGGTGTCTAGTTAGATCATACTTAATGTTGGCGACTACATAAGGCCATAGCATATATTTTCACTCGCCGAGTGCCATCAAAATCAATTGTCGAACGTAGTACAGTACATAGGACTTAGGCCCTGCTTAAACGACTTGGATGGGGCCAAATGCTAATGTCAAGATATATCACTAGTGACGGAAACAATACTCGATGTTATCGATGCTACCCCCCCAGTGAAGAACGCGGGCGAGTCTCATGCACGACCCTGAGCAGCGCGACCCTACACGGCTCAGTCTTAGTGTCACTGCCATGCCTACAGCTTCCCTGTCGGGTGATCGCACGCACATCATATCTGAGACATATACGGTATACCTCATTGCCGATGCCCGCTGAATATGATGAGACTTGATCAACAAAGCTGGCTGTATCTAAAGAATCCTAGCCGGCTCGGCTCACGTGTCCACAGTCCGAAGGCTCCTCCGCCAAGCCAGTACATGGTGGCGAATTCCTGATCATACCAGCTACGTCGACGAATTGGAGCACGTAGTCAATATCGTGTGCTGGCGATTTCCTATTGCAATAAAGTGGGAATGTATCGATGGACGGAGGGGCGGGAATGTTGGAGTCGGAGGAGTCATCGCTAATATGTTCCTTGAAGCCTTCTCAACCTCGGGTTCTACATTTGGAACACATTGGACGAAACTTGCTACATCGGACATTGCGTCGCCCAGGATGTTATTCATGAACCCAACATGAGTCCTTCTACATTTAAATTATCAACGCCATGTTTTCCACCGATAGCCAGTCTGTTTTTTTCTCGCTGACAACGTCCAATCCGGCCATTACTAGAATCCCTACGACGTCTGAGTGTCCATGAGGTCATTCTTTGCCTATCCGGAGGTCGCTATAGGTGGCTTGCACACAAAGTATGACTACATCATCATCGGTACGCATATCATATTGTGCTATCAGGCCCATATTTTCTGATAGAAAGCCTGCTCTTAGGAGGCGGGACCGCGGGCTGCGTTCTTGCGAATCGTCTCAGTGCAAACCCCTCTACAACCGTTCTTCTTGTTGAACGTGGTCCCCGAGCAGATTCATGGCCATCACGAGTACCGCTCTTGTCGTCCGACTTCCCTTCAGATACTCTGCGGACGCGACAATTCCATAGCTCAGAGCAGAAGACGATGTCCAAGGCATTCCACCTGTGTACGGGACAGGCTCTGGGAGGGAGCAGTCGAGTGAATTCTATGATTTACGCTCGTGGGTTGCCTGCTGAGTATGACAGGTGGAGTGAA